GAATGTGCGAGTGAATTACACTCGAGGATGTCCTCGCTGGCTCGGTGTTCAAGACGATGTTCAGTTCCGTTTTATTCATGTCGTCTCTGCGAACAGACGATATATTTGCCTTCGTGAGAGCCTTGCCTTTCCGTCTCGTTGATCGACCTTGTACAGAATGGTTATAACACTGTACGAAATTTCACGCTTATATCCCGCGAGACTCGAAACTCATCGATGATACACGCTATGGGTATATTTGAAAGACGTTGATCGGAAAACTGAACGAATCTATGCATATTGGAACGTGTAAGGGTATTCCTATCGAAGCGTACTCAAACAGTAGAGGGTTAATAACATCGTTTTCTAAAAATACGCCTATCGGTCGCACCCCCTGCGGCCACAAGGCGCGTTAGAAATAGCCGGCTCTGTCAAAATGTATTCGTGACTAATCTCGATTCCACGAATCTCGAAGTACCCGGTATGGGAAGATAAGGTGCTTTCCGAGCCGCCACGCGAACTTACCGGGAAATGATAAACGCGTTACGTCCAACGAATCCCGAATCAAGTTACCGGTAATTGTGAAGTCAGTTGGTTCGGCGAGTCTAACGTTTCTCTTACGGAGGTTCTCGATAATAAACGATCGGCCAGGAAAATACATATCGTGCCGGTTCGAGGCAGCTTCGTAGCACGTCGATCAGCGCGAATCGATGAAACGCAATACCGATGTCAATTGTAATCGGACGAGCCGCCGTTGTCGCGATGACCACTCCTCGAATTTTAAATGTTATTTCTGTGATATATTACGTCACCGTCCAATTGGTCCCTATCATCGTTACCGACACTGTTGCCCGTCAGACAGATGCAACCGTCCAACGAATTTCCACCGTATTACTTTATGGTTTATGCCAGCTTGATTTAACGGTCACGCGTGAAAACGAGAAACAAAGAAGCGCATCGTATTTACTTACGCGTCCAACGTTCCAACGCGAGACTACGAGGACACGTGTTGTTAGACTTGGTGGGAGCCAGCTAGATCTCCCGCAAACATTTCAAAGTTGATTCGTTGGAATGCACGGGCGACTGTTGCTCGTGAGAACGATCGTTAATGTCACTGCGGGCCGCGTCATTCTAGAAAATCCGGTGTTTCGATAAATGGCTTAGGTTAACGACCGCCGGAATCTAAAAGTTTTTTTGGGTCATTTGCATAGTCGCTACGGAAGTCCTCGATCGTTATAGATCGCGATTAGTCCAACGTTACTTCTTATCTCGTTACGGCGACGCTTATCGTTATTCCAAAGTATCTAACTGTAAGAAAACGTATAACGATGTACAAATACTTGGACGAATTGGAGTATCGTTTACGGGTTAGAAAGAACGATGACGCCTTCCTTCTGACGAACGCTTTATCTACCGCGCACCGCAAAATCTGTCCCGCAGACGTCCTCGCTGTTTTATGGCAATACCAAAGATTTCGTTGGCGTTTTTACACCAAGCCCAACTATTTTTAATTCAAGCTTCGCGTCCCGTGAACCCGACAACGACGACGGACGCGGCATATCGAGGAAGAGCGAAATGATAATTTGAAACGTGCCGTGTCATGCAAGCGTCAACGCAGCGGGTCGACGGTCACGTAGATCGTTGCACTTTTCCGTGCGTATATGCCACTTGCAATTCAATTGATCACCTTGCTGGTATCGTTTCACCATTTACGTTGGTCGATCGATAAAGGAACGACGATCGGTTGACGCCTTTGTCCATGGATCTGGACTAGGAGCAATTTCTGTGCGCGCAGACGTACGACGAGACTGTAGTAAGAGGCAACGTTTTCCAAGAGCACGATTGTCGGTCAAGAAAGCACGTCGGGCGTAATTTTACGGTTACACGTACGAATGGCAGCATCACCTGCCGCATTGCCTCTACGGGAAGTCTATGAAGTCCTTTCACTTTTCCTGTTTCGCGCTGGTGGATGTTGAATGCTGTCAAACGGTGTTCTTTGCGCCGTGCATACTTTCGTTCGACGCAATTTCCCGCATTCTTTTTATCAAAAACAAACGTTCGCGATTACGTATGTCGCTTTGCGACAATATTACGAGGTACTCGATGCAGGAGGAGAAGAAAGAACGCAGAGACAAAAACGGAATAAACTGTGCGACTAGAAACTTACGATCTATAGCTGGCAAGTTCGACGCCAATATACCGATCGATATATCACGATCGGGCACGTAGCTGCATTTTTACAAACCGATCGAACGACGATCAAAGAAATATAACAGAATATCACTGTGCAACGAAGGATATGTTAATGGAACTATGGTCCGATGAGCGAGGTAGCGAAGAATGACAGAAAAGAAGAACGAAGATGCGCGTTCTCCGACGTTCGCGCGCATACTGCTCGCACGGCTGACCGTAATGTCACGTTATCTCAAGAGGTACCAGACGACTCGAAAGAGCCCGAGATTGCGTGCCCTTCCTTTAATGAAAGACGTCGGTGTGTGCGTTAGTGGCCGCAAGGTTTTCTCATTGTCAGCGAAAAATCGCGCCTCGCACGCCATACTTCTTTCGTTTACGCACAATTTCGCGATATATTTCGAAAGAAATGCCAATTGCCCAGCTTGATTTATCCCGATAAAAGGACAATCTATTTTTCCCCCTTTTTTATTTCTCTGTTACTTGTTTACGCGCCGGTTTTCCTATATTATCGTAGCATATCGAGCCTCGCGTTATTTCAATTAATCTATTAACTGTTCTTGTTATCTCGTAAAGTGCCAACAAAGATGGCTGGTCACCGATGTTTCTTTAATGCCAATAAAAGGAACGAAGAAATGTTTTCTCGTGTAATTGGCCTCTTCTTGCGCAGTGCATCGAGTAGCTCGCTTTAATAACGCGTTATCACCGAATCTGTCAGCCGTGAAAGACTCTTGAGAATATATACATTTATATATATATATATATATCGTTGCTTCGTACGGAATCGTGTAAGTAGTTACATATGCCCACGATCAAAAATTTCCCCAAGAGAATGTGCAACGGCACGCGTCTCTGCTCCACGCGTAACATTGCTTAATGATCGAAATAATCATGGAATTCGTTCGCCAGAATTTGCTCGAGTTATCGACATTGACAAACACCAAGTGTGTACTTTATACATACCGCGACGAATAACAGATTTCGGTGCTCTTCGAGCAGCAGGTTTCATAAATTTTACTCGAAGACTACGATTGATAAAATTACGAGGATTAATTCAAGGATACGAGGCGATAAAGAAGACATTTCTTTACTCGAACGTACTGCTAATCTTCTGTTTCGACGCACGGGTTTTGCCTCTTGAGCTTCGATTTAATTGGTCGGCAATGCAGATGCAGATGCAGATGCAGATGCAGATGCAGATATCATGCACTAGTTGTCAAAGTATGCATAAGTCAGGTACATTAGTTAAACGATACAATGATCTCGGTTCCCCTGCGATACGCTTGTTTTTTCTGTCACGCAGCTGCATGCATACTTGCGAAAAAAACTGTACAAACATAGATACAGCGTCTACATACATACGTGGACTTGAGTCATGATTTCTGAATAATCGTTGAAGCCGAGTCTTTGTCTCGGTTCGGTTGCTATGAAAGCCCGTCGACGCCTTCGAGACTCGAACCGATGTAAATGCGAGAGAATTAAACACATTCGTTTGATACAATCGACCCCGCGTTTTTTTCGTTTTTGTCACCGATAAACGTGCCTCGAAAAAACATCTCTGGTGGGCTCCAGTTCGGAGAATCTGTACTTATCATAGAATTTTCGAAGAAGGTCGTTCGCGTCGTTTAAAAATGATTTAGCGTTCGATCGTAGCGTTTATTTTTATACCTAAAATGTTAGGAGAAAAATGACGGGCTCGAGATAGCTTTCCATTCCTCCGTGCACGTTTATTGATCGCTGACTGCACAGCGTCGAGGATCTACTGCGCAGGAACGGCGTAATTCAAAATCCGACTTTCTCTTCAAACACTGGCAATAATATTTTCTCGGAGGACAAATATTTTCCCTCTTATGCGTCGTATCTTGTTCAGAGAATATGTACTATTTGTTTTTCGAAAGAACGACCTTTACTCCCGTACTTTTAATGATGAATCATTTAACCTATTCACGTGCATGGATTGTACGATAGACGCAACGACAATAATTAAATTTCGAGTACAATTGGGATACAAAATTGGCTACGATAAAGGTTATAACAAGTTGGAATCGCTAAGGTCGCAAAAACGCGCGTTATTCCAAGCGCGTGGTTTAAACTTCCGTAGAGTGGCATCATTAAACAGCTTTATTGTCTAGAATTATTCCCCTACTCTCGTCATAACTAAAGAGATGTGAGTCACGTTCATTAAGTATATAACGGGTGGTCATGCACAGTTCGCGGAAACTGGAAACGAGATAAAGGACTAGGATTTAAGATTTCGCTACTAAGGATTCGATTACACGGCTGTGAGCCTCTCCGGTTTCGCTCGTCTTTGATTCTTTTCTTGTTAAACGTACGAGAACTCTATTTTCGTTCTTAGTTTCACGCCCTTCGTTCTGCATTTTATGCGCCCAATCAATGCGCCTATTTTCTCCGTAAATTAAACGAACACATTGAGTACTTTGCTCACACATATGTTACTCGACGATAAATAAAAAAGAATGTTTGAAGAGTCGAAGTGAAATTGCGACGTAAGAGTGTGCCAGGGGCATGCCTCGATTCAACATCATCGCAAATTATCATGGTTCTGCTGGATCTCATTAAGTAAATTCGATGCAGAATGACGAGCTTGTTATTTATAGGTCAAGCTCGTGACAGTGGCAGCCCTGATTTCGTATCTTTTCTTCTCACGAAATTTCACGATGCGTAAATATGGATTATTCGTTTATAATACTTTGTCAATAATAATATATGTATATGTACGTAGTTCGTTCTAGAAGATATCGACATGATGTTTATCACATTATATTTATTGTCTCCTGATTATCTTGTAGATACATTATTGTAGACTGCAAAGTTTTATCAAATTTGTAACAATTAGTAGTTAAGTGTAATGAATCTTGCAAGTATTCTGTGCAGTGAAAAACATGAATGTATATAGTTTAGGGAATATCTCTCTTATTTTCGATAACGTGATATCCAATCGCATAAAAATACACATTGTAAAATCTGAAATGTTCCTACGATATTTCAATTTCAATTTAAATGAGACATGTATGTAAATGTTTGATTTATAAGTTAAACAATCCAACGGGATGAACGTACCAATATAAAATATCTTATAACAATTTATATTAGCAGGCGTTTATCATCGTATACAGTTGCCCAGCCTGCTGCTTGATAGCGTTTATCACTATATAGCAGTATAGCACTATATAACAAGGATTTATTATTTCTATCCTTCTGTCATTAATCTGTGATAAGGAAAAGAACTGGTGTCGTTTCTTTGCAAATGCAATTAATTAGATAATATTACATTATTTTCTGATGACAAATCCATATTATGTAAGTTCAACTTGAACGAGCTTAAAAACAACATAACGTTGCTTTACAAGTACAAGTGCAGATATTCATTGAAAAGAACAATCAACTCGTGTTATAAATAATAATAACTTTGATTAAACAGGAGTAATAATAAGGTGACTCAATCTTGATGTTCTGCTGGACTGACAATCATGACACGACTAGGAGGCAGAGCCTCTTTAATGATCACCGTAATGATCAGTTTTACTCTGTTGATTGTTATTTATCATATTCTCGATAATGAGGTCAAGGACATCACGACCAATAAATTAAATCCACAGTTTAAGATCGAAGAGGTTTATCCATTGAGCGACCTGACCGAGAATCCTCTTAGCATTGCCAGAAAAAAACAAATAGAGGCTCAAATAATGGGAAAATTGAAAAGCGGAGGAGGAAAGCTATTCAACGATATTAACTATGAAAGATTGCACGCAGAAACAGTTCCCTTGTTTAAGGGACATAAAATCGTGCATTTAGATTTAAAAGGAGCTCCTCCAAAGGCAAGTTATTACAAGTACCTGCTAAATTTGCTCAAAAATTTAGGTGCCACTGGTATACTTATAGAATACGAAGATATGTTTCCTTTTGAAGGAACGATACAAAATATCAGCGCAGGAAATTGCTATACTAGAAAGGACATTGCAAAAATTCAAAAGATAGCCAGTAAGAATAAGCTTATAGTCATACCATTGATTCAAACTTTCGGTCATATGGAATTTGTTCTCAAGTTAGATCGATATAAAGACTATAGAGAAGTTTCGAGGTACCCGCAAGTCTTATGCCCTACTTACAACAAAACTCTACCATTGATATACGAAATGATAGATCAAATAGTAGAAGCACATCCTGATATAAAGCATTTGCACATTGGAGCTGATGAAGTTTATCAGATAGGAGAATGTTCCAGATGCTTAGATACAATGGTTAAAAGACAGTGGGGCAAGAAACAATTATTTTTGGATCACGTTTCAAAAGTGGCAAAATATATAAAAAATAAGTATCCAGATCTTGTTGTTCTTATGTGGGACGACGAATTTAGAGAAATATCATCCGATGAAATAATAGACAGAGGCTTGCATTTAATGGTAGAACCTGTCGTTTGGAAATACACCACCGATCCTGGAGCATCGTTGACAGATCAATTGTGGAAAAACTACGCATCGGTTTGGAAAGATATCTGGCTCGCTACAGCTTTCAAAGGTGCTACTGCTCCAGATAGATATTACACCGATATTGGTTATCATATGGAAAATCATCAGCGTTGGTTGGAGATTATCAATAAATATTCTACTGAAATTAAATTTAAGGGTGCGATATTAACAGGGTGGCAAAGATACGATCACTTTAGCGTACTGTGCGAACTTCTGCCATCCGCTATACCCTCGCTTGCTGTAAATTTAGCCATCCTGCAAGCTCCAGACTTATGTAGATTTCCGATAGAAGTACCTGCTTCAGTATTACAAGCGCTAGAGTGCGAGGCCATCATTTTTCTAAGTATTCCAGAACCTCAATATGGTTGGACCAGATGTAGTTATCACGGTGTGTCTATTTATGCCGCTATATTGCGGCTGTATTCTTTGACTCAAGCAGTTAGTAAAATGGAAGAGGATAACACATTTAAGGGATGGTTGAAGCCGTACAATTTAAAATACTCTTTTTCAAATCCTAGTCACGTAGAAAGAGCGGTTGCAGAACTGGATAAATACAAGACGGAGATAAAGTATATTGAAAAAGAAATAAGAACAGCTATGGAAAACATATATGACAATTATACTATACAAGAATGGATAGAAACGTATATCGCTCCTATGAACGAGAAATTCACTCAACTATGGGAGGCTAAAGAAAAGATTTTAGAAAAGAACATATGGCCAAGAAGACCACTAACAAAATCTATCTTATAGTTTAATGAATGAATAGTTTCCATAACGTGTAATATGAGACTGAAGATCGCACTAGAGTAAAAACAAAAGCGACGTATTAATCGAGACACTTAGAATCTTTGTTTTATAAAGAGACGAGTAATCGATGGTATATAAAGTTTACCAAAACTATAATTTTGCACGTTATATCTCTAAAATATATAGAATATGCTCTATATCTCAATTCAAGCGGGTGATCAAATTCTATCGACTGCACCGTCCGTAAATTAGTTTTCCTTTTTTTCCTTTTTTGAATCGTCTAACAAACATTCGATTGAACCCGTGATCAATGAAAACTGATCTTAATTCGTGCACTCGAAGAGTGAACTAATTAGAGATGAAGTGCTAATTTAAAAATTGATCCTAAAGTTGATTAATTATTCTATCTTCTGAATTGCTATCTTAGGAATTAATTCCTAATGAAAAGGCCTCCACTAACTTACTTGCTATTTATTAACATGTTTTGTCGTTTAATACTTCCGACGGGCATCTTACATTTATGTTATTCAAAGCTAATTGTTCTAAGAATACGCATATACCGCGATCTTACTCATTCTTGTTTGTTAAATGACGTGTTCTTCCGTTGTATACATTCTGTTTTGTATATTTGTTTTTTTTTGCATATAGTTTTGCATGATTAGTGCCATTAACAATTAGGTATAGAAACAAACCTGTGAATCAACAATGTATAAAAATAGAGATACATCTGCGAGTCGTTTAATATGGACGAACGAATTTTCTCTCGGTGTTTAACACGCGAATAAAAATTTATTCGTTTACTATCCTGTTTTACTTAATCTTACGATGTTCAAATGCGATTATAGAGCTTCCTTTATCCCCTGATTTCTTCACGGATCAACTCTCAATATCGAACGATCTTTTCCCACCAGCATTTATACATGTATGACAAAATTACCGAGGACTCGGATACAAATCTATGGCATGTACTCAATCAACAGTGTATGTACATCACTGTAACGAACGATGCTACTATTATTGTAAAAGTATTTTTAACATTGTTACGTCGATCCATATTAACATTATTACCGCAAGTAGTAAGATTTTATCAATAAATAAATTTGTTTTTAAATCTACTACGAAGACACCAGTGGTTTATTGCATTGGCCCCTCAAAGTATAAGTAATCTCTTGTATACGGTAAGAAAGTAGCGAAAAATATTCGTATGGACGTCTTATGTACAGGTGAACCGTCCTTGACGTTCGACAAAAATATCGTATTGCAAAAACCACTTTTCGTTACGGTAATTTTCACTGTAGCAGGCAAACTGACGACTTTGAACCAGGTAAATGGGGATGAAATGGTATTTGAGTTTGCTTTTTCGTGGGGATCCTTTTCACGACCTTGTGGATGGTGCTCATGTCCACTGTGTCGCCTATTTCTGCGATTATTATGGGCTTGTGATAGTCCTGATCTGTTTTCGTCAATCGAACACCCAAAATTTGCGCGGCTAAGGTCACTATACACAAAGAAACCTGAAATGAAAACCAGTTTTTTTTTAAAAAGGAAGTACAGGATATTGCTCCTCTTATTGTTTAAAGAATATTTTACCGCTTCACCGGTTCTAGCGGAAACATCGTGAGACGGAAATCCATTGTCTGCGGCGAATTTGTGTGTTCGATCCTTTTTCACCGTCCTCTGATGTTCCATGTCGCATTTGTTACCAACTACGGCCATCAGCGGTCTTTCCTCGTAGTTATCGCTCAATTTTCTGATTTTATCTATCCATTCTTCTAGAACTTCGAAACTGAAGCTATTGGTGACGTCGTAGACTAAAAGGATTATCTGAAAAATATTGTTTTTCCTCCTGTAGAAGAACAGTTGATCTAGATTTTTTTTTTTTTTTTTTTTGTGAAATGATGTTTCGAGTGAAACGTATGTCGGATTAATTCCGTTTTCTTACATGAGCACCGAAGACGTATTTGTCCAGCATGTTTCCGTGTAACGCAAGACCGCCGACATCCCATAAATGTAGATTAACGTTTTTATAAAAACCAACGTTGACGTTCTTCAGGAAGAAGTCGATTCCAGATGTTGGCGTGTACTGTCTCGTGAACTCGTTATTGCAAAATTTCTGAGCGATGCTCGTCTAAACAGGGATCCTTGAATTTCAGTTATCCAGAATTGCTATTCTATCGTTACGACGAGAGAGAAAGAGAGAAGCTGTGGTCCTTTTCTGATTAAAGAACAGCTTTTCGGTTTCAAGAAACGAAAATAAAAAGATTCTAAAATAAATCATCGACTGTCAATCAATATACATAGTAATCTTAATAACTAAGGGTTCTCGGATCGGTAGAGTGTTGCTCGGGCATTCGATCGTAACACGGAATTTCTACGTCGATCGAAACTCGCGTGTTATGCTTACCTGCTAATTAATAGCTAGAAGTTGTTTGAGAACTAGAAGTTGTTCCTGTTATTGAGCAAAAGAATTTTGACGAAGAAAAGAATTCAAGACAGACGTGAAACGGCTCGAGTCACGAATACCTAATTTTGCTCGGACTACGCGTAGACTATAGACTCTAATTACTAAAGATTTATTGCTGACAATGTATGACACTTCGAGCGACGAAGATGTCAAAATGGTTATTACCGATAAAGTAAAGCGCAATAAACGTAAAACGTTCTATACTTGCGAAAGTATGTTTAATTGTGGCACTGACCACGCTTCGCACGGAGGAAATAAATCGATACGTTGCTTGGTTCTTCGAAGCTCAGGCACTCTGAACTCGAAACAATTTAATCATATACATCGACGTTTCGTATGCGTATACCCTTGCAAAAATGTACGATCGAAATTCAAATCGATATTTTGTTACTTTCGCATTAACGCAAAAACAAAAGACTAGAAAAAGTACACTGTCGCTTGGGACTGGGATTACACTTCCGGTTAGACGCCGGGGACATTAGAAAACTCACTTTGCCGGATCCAGAATCACCGACCAGCACGATCTTCAGCTTCTTTACCAGTAGGTCCTCCTCGACGTCAGACATTGGGGAAGATCGGGATAAAAGGAGCACGAAAGGAAGAAACGCGACGATTGACGGAAAGTTTCGGGAATCATGCGAAAAGTCGTGTCGGCCACGACGGTTCTGCGTCGACTATAATGCAATATATAAACGAAGGGTCTGGCATGTGGCTAGAGAATGAAATCGAGCGAATCGACCGGCCGGCCGTGGGCAGTGCGACGTCGTCGTCGTCTACACGGCTGCATGAATAAATTAGCGAATAATCGATACGAACAGCCATGGTGCGTACCTCTGTCTCTCGTCGATATTATACTTGACAAACTTTTTCCAATGACGATCTTTCGATTAATTATGAATACCCTGTGACGTAATGGATCGAGGTCTTGTACTTGTACGTGTCAAGGTTTTTCGTAATAATTCTCATTGAGTACGTAGTCTTTTCCCCATTCTTTGTTTTCCTTTTCCTTTTTCTTATGCTGGTGTATATGTATAGTATACATATATAGCGTATATAGTACATAGGTAACATAGGTATGGTAATATCAAACGAGGTTCGAGATTCAAGGGTCAAAGTAATTCGACCTCTCGTCTACTCACGCTATGCGCTTGAAAATAGTGTAAAAAAATATGTATCTGTCTTTCGTGGGCAGGAGTAAGTACTTGAGTAATCGCAGATAGATTCGTCGTTCGATCGTAATCGTCGTTGTTCGCTGGCTGAAACGAGAAATTTATTACAAATTATACGTTCCATAATATCTGTCTCAGCGTCTACGTTTAATCTTTTCGTGTATTACCTTCTTGATATGCTTCTTCGTCTCGGTGCTTGTATTTTATGGAAGAATTTATGTATGAATTAATTAAAAATCGAAGTAATAGTTAATTAAAAATCAAATCCTTATAATTTGCTAAGAGGTAGTAATTAGACACGCGGCAGCACGTTGTCGTACGAACGACCGTCAGTCTGTCGGCGCGTTCAAAATTGGCCTTTACTATTTCATAGTATCTTCCATCGCTGCAAGCGCATCGATTTTACAATTATAGAGCGTATTTTATTTATTGCCCGACTTCAAATATAATTATCCGGTTATGTGATTACCTCAAGCTTAAGCACCGTAATTTAATGCATTTTACACGTAGTATATCTATAGCCTTCTGACTTTTGTCGGAGAATCGGAGATTCTCGGGATCCCAGCGGAGTTCCAACCGCTCTAAATTTGGACAATTGTTAGCAATTCCGTCCATCAACTGATCCACGTGAATATTCACGCCTAACCTCTCCTGTGTTCCCATTACAAGAATTCTAAAATAAGAAACAGGAATTTCAAAGATATCTTGTCGTAGCATATTAAAGGTATTAAAGATCTAAAAATATATTTTACTTGGCATTGGTCAGTATGGGTAATACACTCTGCCATAGTTGATCGGTGATGTGAGGCATGCCGAATAAGGCGAGCCCCCAGAGTTGATGACCGTATCTCGACAAGAATTTATGCAGACCATCGTCGGTCAGGTTATCGGAACTATCCAGATCTAGAGCGATCAGGTTCCGAGGATTGCCGAGTTCGGCCCAGGCTTTTAACACGCTATCGTTGAAGCCGTTCAGTTGACCAGCGCTCAGGAAACGAAGACCTGGAATTCTGGTCAACATGTCGATCAGACATTCCGTTGACAGATCCGTCCCGGTAACGTCCAACTCCTGGATGCTCGACTTTTCCCATTCTACCTGCATCACGTATTCGCTCTGGAGATCTGAAAAAGGTGCGTAACATTTCAAGTTTTGTACAACCGAAGGTAAGATTGCACGTTGATGAATATTTAGTTACTCGTTCCCTGCATGAGGAGACACTTTAATCTCCTGCTCCTTTGAAACAGAGTCTTCATGGTCGAGCCAGTGACTTTGGCACAGAAATTCACGGCCAAACATTCGAGCTGGATGCAATTGGAAGAAAATGCGTCGATGTGTGAATCGTCTACAAAATTGATCCCATATAAATTAATTACTCGCAAATTGGGGGTCGCTGATTTCAATTTGTGCACATTTATCACTTCGTAGATTTCCTCCTCCTCCTCTTCCACCTTCTCGTACGTTCCTATAAGATTCTACATGTAGTTAGTTTCTCGTTGAAACAGGTGGCGGTATGATAATGATTCGCTCGGATTTCAAGGTGGACACGAACCTATAAGGTGAAGGATCTCCAAGCCGTTGATAAAATTGTAAATTTTTCTCATAAAGCCCTCCATGAAGATTACCTCTGACAGGCAGATGCACATGTACTTGAGTTTAGTCGGGAAGGCTTGCATCTCCGAAAAATCGTGCAGCTGCATGGCAGTGGAGAAGTCGAGAAGCATGTGAGTCAAATTTGGACATTTATTTGCCAATTCGTGAAGAACCGTGTGGGTGATCAATTCGATCGGCAATTCGATGTACCTCAGCGAAGCTCCAAAACGCGTGCTGTTACCAGAGAAAGTTATTTTAATATTTTACGGCTGCGTGAATCCACCATATCGTTACCGTTTACGAGTTGTATTTTGGCAAGTAAAGAAGACGTTGATTCTGGCGTGAACCTCGGACGCGAACGTTACCTGCCAACGTTATATCGAGAAAGTATCTACTACCTGATCAAGTGCAGCAGATTGTCCAAAGAATTCACGTGCAGTCCACTGATTTCCGGTCGCAGAGATACGTGTTTCCATAATCGCGTGTCGTACGCGATTTGCCGCCATCTTTTGCACACACGTGCTACCCTGCATATTTCGCGATGAGACAGATAACTGAAGACGTTTAGCAACACCTTGTCTGGCAGTTTTTCTATCGTCTAAAAAAATTGAAAGAACAATAATCCTTAGTACGAGACGCGTTAAACGATTCGACGGCTGCCTGGAATTAAAAGAGCAAACTCGAGTTGACGTCTTTCGTCACATCTTTGGTAAAGTTGACCACTTACTGTCCCAGCGAAGCGACTTTTAACCACACCGCCCTCGGAAACGAACATCTGAGACGTTTCCACGGCGATCTGACCCCAGACATCGACACCCCCGAGATCCATCTTGTTATTTTCTCAAAACGTACTCGAGGCACAAAATTGCTTTCCCTTTGCAAAGATATTGTCACAGAGCTTACTTCGATCGACAGGACGTTGATCTATCCGATCCGATGAACGTTTAATCCACGTGTGACTAATTGAACTTTGCACCGTGCGGAAAATTACCGATGTGTAAAAACGGGAATATTTATTCAACGACGAAGAAGGTTCGTGAAAATCGCGGCACACGGCAGATTTCAAGGAATCAGAAGTTCTAAGTCTTCGACGGGGATTTCTAATCGGATCGCGCCTGCGCGTCGTCCTAAATATAAGACTTGGAAGACCCGTCTCCGCTTTAATTTTAAACTCGTCACCTGCAGCCAAGGTACATTTCCTTCTGTTTCCCGTAAACGTCAGATTTTGGGCGAAGTTTAGGAAATATCCGCGAGTCTCACTACAGCTATTGTTCGAAACTCGTTGCGCCTGTTCGTTAATAATAAAAGAGTTTCCAGAAATGCCTGTACAGTTTACTTGCAAAATAATGTCGATGAAAATTGTTTTTACATCTGTTTAACATCGACACAAGAAAATCGAGAATTTATTTGCCGATGAATTTACGTTTACCAAAATTTCGCCTCTTCTTTTTCGGGTTTTCTTCCTTCTTTTGATTTCAACGGACGTCGTAAAACACTTGACCGCTGATATTTTGTCTCATCGAGGAGGGTCATAGGCTTTTTAGAAATCTGCCAGAACAGCCTGGTTGATGTAAGACTTGGAACTTATCCGACACGAGACTTAACAAAACACGTGGTATTTACACAAAGATATATGTACTACAAGAAAATATTTTCTTTTTTTTATTTTTTTTTTTTTTTAAGAATCCGAGTCGTTGTTTCTCGATAAAACACTTGGACTCTGTTACCTGATTATCGATGTCATTGTTTTGGGGTATTAAAAAATCGAGTACTTCGATCAAATAGCAAGATGGATAAAAACGTCGCTCTAATTTTATTTAACGATATATCTATTTCATTTTTTTTTGTTTTTTAATAATCGACATTTGTCGCTGAACTCACACGTTCAGCTTCTATCAGAAGAAATCTCGCGTGTCGCATGATGTGATAACGAATTTAATCGTAGCGATCGATAACGTCACCGCTTAGATGGTTTCATCCGGTACAAATAGGATCTTTTTATTTTCAAATAAGCGCAAAGTTATTATGCAATACTAAGATGAACGCTCTTACGCGAACAAATTGCTAGCTGCTCAGCTAAACGTTCAAAATTGAATGAAATCTTTTCCATCAAATAGAACTATCGATCGATATTTTAACTAAATAATTACCACGCTCGACGCGATTCTTTTCCGATAAACGCTACGACCGACATCCTCTCTAGATATAGCATTCGTGGCGAATTCCACGTCCAGCTGATGCCAGGTGCTCATTGTTGGAAATGCAATTAATTACACCGTGCTGTACGATCGATCTAGGAAAAAATCACTTTGGGGCCACACCTTTCTCGATCTACACCGAATTATTGAAACCGTATCATACGCAGAAATGTCGCAAAACAGTTCAACGTTCCTTCGTTCATGTCAATATATTTTACAGGCACTCGAGTCACCGCGAGTTCAGAAACGGTCCCGAGCCGGCAACCAATTTGTCAGGAGTTCGTCGGCTGACTGGACGATGCTAGGACTCATTTCAAACTGAGTGGTAGCTTAATTAGTTATAAATAAAGGCAAGCAGTCAGTCAGGCAGACATCAGGCAAAGATAAGAATAGATAGAACGCATTTGTATGTACATCCTACCAATACGATCTCCATCTTCTACGTGTCATAATTCTGATTTGCAAGTTGTAAATATAAGAAAACACGATATTGCAGATGTTCTTCTAAACGGTGCAAGAAGAATGCAAGATTGTTATTGCGACAACGTTTAACAAATTTTGTTATGACAAAGAAAGCTAATGTCTGTTTTGATAATTTACCGTATTCGATCGTTTTATAACCTCCTTCTTATCGTCGTCAAAGTTGTTGAGCTGTTGAAGCGCAGCTTCTACGCTCAGTACGTTCCAGTTGGACATTCTTCGTGCATCCATATCGGTTGATCGAGAACGGATTTAGATATCAAGAAAATAAGGTTTATATCGCTATACATATATCTCCGTACGAAAACAGCACATCCTAACATTACACTATTTACTGAAAACGCTACGAAAGAACGAATAAGGGCTTTACACTTTCACCATATCCTTTGCGATTTAGTTTAACGGGCAACGACACTCGAGCAAACGATAGAAAATCGTCGAATGAAATCTCACAAAAACGATTTGTGCATCACGAGTACACGGAGAAATACGAATTTTGGTAAAGAAGATCGAGATTGCGTACGTTCTCCTTTGTAGATACTTTCTGACAGAGGATAGAAGATTAAGCCATCGTTTAATGACGTCCTTCCTTCGGTTTACGAAAAATGTGTTGACGTTTGGATTACATAATTATCTTACGACTGTGATCTTGTCGAAGTAATCCTTTTTCTTCTTTGTTATTTTAAATACTTATCGTTGGTTAGTCGGAACGCATGCAACCCTCGATGCTTGTCGAAAATCAACCTAGTCGACCATTGTGATGTTCTTATGCTAAGCACCCTACGTTCTAGTTCGGAGGTGAAAAATGTAACTAAAATAATCTTAACTTTCTGTCGATCCCTAAAATAGACTCGCTGGAGAGCTGTGCCACGCAAGGATGCACAGCCAACAGAGGGCCGTCATGGTACATTGCGGGACTTTTCGAAAATTCAACAACAAAAAACATGTTGAATTTCATTTCGAATTATTCGGCATTACCCTTTCATTGTATTTATTTTTAGTTACAGTTAGATCACGAAGAAATGCAACAACCTTTGATTGTATAACTGTGTGATCCGTAAAACACAGATCGTTTCATCGTCCAGTATGTACTTTAACAAAAAGAAACAATTTGGCAGACAAATAAGAAGTGTTAATGATGACTCATAAAAAACATAAATTTATATTATTTTTATTTTTTTATAATATACCGTAGAAATATTGCGAATGACAAACGCCCTGTATGCGTGACAGTTGTTGAATATCTTTTTGATTGCAGGCCAAATAGGTAGCATTTGGCTTGGCGCCATTAGCAATTTGATTAATTAAGGCCACATAATGTACGAACACTGACAGTGACTTACAAGATCTTGCACGATGTACGCTAACTATGTCCAGTTTGTTTATAATTTTTTATCGACATAAATATTTTCTTCTAGCGGACGTGTCTTTAAATGATTCATTATGATTCTCAAATATCAAGAAAACAAAATATCACAATATTCCGTAATACTTTTTTTTAACTATTTCAAGTTATCGAAAAGTAGAAAAATAATGGGGAAGATAGAAATTTATAGATTTATTGAGTTTCTATACGCATATGTTTGCACTTCATAAATAAAGATGGCGTTAGAAGTACTACGTTACCAACTGTAGGTTTCGATTGAAGAAGATACACTTGTCAAACATTTTTGTATAAATATATGTATGTACATAAATAATAATTTGCAATTTGCAATATTCATATGAATATTATTAGATATATATGCATATAACAATTTAAGGTACATGAGACACAACTTGTAGATGGATTGAGATTTTTTAATAATGTGTACTTCTACGAGCAATTGCGCGTTTTACCGGACGGAAATCTCATTTTTCATTTAATCTAGTCTTTGCATATGACTGCACAATAGCAATATGTTATCAGTCATGTTCATTCTTTCCGCTCTTTGCTTTCGTATTTATTAAACTTATCAGCAATAACAGTTGACAGCCAATTGTTATCTAGCAGTAAAGAAAAGTGTATGTTTATACGTTAATCGATGATCGAAATGACGATCGTGAAAGTGGGGTTTCGCAATAGATCGCAATATTTACTTCGCTATACTGCGAAAAAGATAATCTGAAGAGCATTATACGTTTAATTTTATCTGCAAAAGATGCCACGTCGTATAATTACTTACGTCCATAGTATTTAAAAATCGAATATTCTTTTTATCTTGGCAACGATGCAATCGAAATATATACACATCTATTGACAAATAATACGGGGAAGTAATGCGATAAAAGTACCAAATATGTATCTTGATGCAATGAAATTAGTTGTCACATGGAGGCCATTTTGCGCAAAATTGGAATGTAAAATTAAATCTATGTACTCTAAAATTTAAATAAAATACTTTACATATTTAAAATGCAAAAAATTCTAAAGCTTTTATCTCTCCTATAGTTGTACATAATTGTTTCAGTACTAAAAGTCATATTTCAATTTACCTCGCATTTAATTTACATGTAATATTTGTAATCTATACTATACATGTACATACGATATATACATGCAGGCATATCTAAAGATTTATAAGGAAGTACAGCAGCGCCTCTATGAACTTCGATAGTGATGAAAATGTATTTTCCTTTTCCTTTTTCGCCTATTCTTTTCAAAACATTTCCTTGGAATAAGCAATTAATTGTCTCGTCATTGAATTGTGTTGAGTTCATTTTCATTGATTTAAATTCATTTTGATTGTTTTTCCATTTCCTTTTTCCCTTTTCCTCTTCTATCCTTTGTTTATCTTTTTAATCCGCGGCAGACATGTTTTTCGTCTCTGTTTCGTACGTAGAGCAATCTGGTGGAGTGTTTTAGTAGCTATAAAAAGGACTGCTTTCCTTGCAACACTCATTGGCTGTTGCATCGTTGTGGTGAATGGGTGATATAACGCATTGTTTCTTGTTTAGCAAAATAATCTGAGAGTACAAAAAAGGACAGAGTAACAACATTGCAATTCTATTCGTTGCTCGGTGAGTGTCACATTCGTTGTGTTCTCACAGTACCAGTTCGAGACGTATATAACCAAAAATATAAAGTCGCAACTTCTCGCGAATACATATGTCCCAAGCATATACTGTGTGCTGTTGTGTAATCGTGTTTATCAGCTGTGGCGGCAAAGGTGACCACTTCACCCCGTCAGTGATTCAAATTTCTACAGCGTATTGAGTACCCTGATTAAAGACGTAACAAGGTAAGAAGACCAAGAGACAAGATTGCATTTTGCTGCTGATATTCTAAGGCGAACGTCAATCTGCATTATACCCTGATTTCGCTGGCATGAAAGACTATCGTGACAAATGCGAATCGGATAAGAAGTTACATATTGAAGAAAGAGAAAAGGAGTAGAAGAAGAAGGCGTACAGAGAAATACATCGTCGGACAGTGTCATTTTGATATCTATCATTGGAGGACCGATCTTGCAGCTCTTATCCCCGCATCGCGGCGGTATGAAATAACAAGAGGCTTGATTTGATCGACAAAATCGACGACTTTAGTAGAGGCGGCGACTGTCTGATTTGTAGCGTCCGTACTCAGTCCTCAGTGTAGGCTAGTCGGGCGCACAGTTGTCGTTGTCTCGACAATTTCCAAACGGTCGTAAAATTCTTGGCAAATCTTTTCCTTGACAACTGACGTTTCATTAATCGAGATATTCTCCAAACATTTGTGTTATTTCTACACATTTAACCAGTGAGAAAATACAAGTATTTTCGTAAAGGTATTCGACAGAGGTTATCTTTAGATAAACAAACCACGAAAGTAGAAATTTCTTGTGATTTTTGCTAAGTACGTTTCCAACGAACTTTGATAAGGATCATAACATCAAGGAGAAAACCTCAGAATCAAGAAGATTGAGAAAAGATAAGATTTTTTGACAAGTTCGGTGTTTTATACACGACGCACAAATATGGCGACAGACATGTGCATGCAACAGAACTGTACCTATTCTATCGGATTTTTGTATGAAATGATCACAGAAGAGATGTGGACGCCATGGAAGGCGATGGTGGAATATTTCGATTACACACCATGGCTGTTTGCTTTGCTTGGAAGTACCCTGATTGGACTGACTGGTATTTTCCCCCTATTTATCATCCCCATTGAAGAAGGTGCCAACCTAAGGACTGGAGGTAATATTTTTCTTCAATGACACGTAATTGATCCCCTTTTTCCTTTGTTATTATGTTATTTTTTTTAATCAGCATGAACTTATTAAATGATTCATGTGGAATCATGATGTTTTCCTGCTGCGAGGCATTCTGACTATCGCTAAGGGAGGTTATGTATACAGTGTACTTTCATTTTACCGCGCACGCGGGAAATAGCTTCACAATAGGTTTAATACAGGTGATCTGTACCAACGAAGTAATTTGTTATTTTATAGCGCGATGTTTATGGGTAATACAATGCTTTTACTTCTTTTATTTTAAACTTTACAAATAACGTATACAAATAACGTATACAAATACGCGTATACAAATGACATGCGCGTATGAATTTACAGTAAACAAATGAAGTTCTTCAATGAAAATGTTCAACACTAATTAATGTGTTCTTCAAGCGTGTTCTTCAAGCGTTATCTTTGAATCACGTTTTATTTGCTGGAAGATTAGATTATTAATAAGAACTAATGAAATTAACCATTTCTTTTTAATGAAATTCTAAGAAGTTATCTAATCAATCTTTCCCGTCCTAACTTGCAATAAAATATTATAAATTAAGGTGATAAGGGCCTACATAAGTAGTTTACCGTGTTACGTAAATTTAAGGGTAGGTTGATGAAATAAAGGGTAGGTTGAGTCGTAACGCAACTACTGTCCTTTATTTTCTAGCATAGATTTACACTGATCGGCGAGATGTTCACTGTTCGATGATTTTGTCTATTTCTCTCTAGGTGTTCTCGTCTCATTACGGAGAAAAGCTCGGTGTGAGTGTGCCCTTTTTAATTAACAACGCGGATTCGCTGTTCGCACCTCCCGCTAAGAAAAGTGAGGGTAACGATACACGATGCCAATTGGTTATAGGTCATGTTAATAAATGAAGATAGGAGGAGAAAGCCTCCTACCAACGTGGCTAGTAGGTAATATTGTTTATGGGAAAAACCAGCTTTTTCGTTAGTCAAGTATTGAGTTTTTCCCATTACCTGCTTTCCCCGTAATTAGTAAGGACGTATGACAACCTAAGGGTTGTTTCAAGGGCCATCCATAAACAGATAATACAAAAATGATAAACTAAAAGTTTAAGTTTATAGCGGGGCCCTGGGCTAATTGAGGATACGCGGTGAAGACCTGCACACATCCGGCCTCTAATATGAATTGACGTTACAACCGCGTGGAAGTAGGATGATGTTTTTCTTTAAGATTCAATGATCACTTGCAGAAGTAACAAATCGTTTTGTAGAATATTCGTTGCAAATAACCATCAAAACCCGTTAGAAAAATATTGCCTAATATCAATTAGTCGTGTACCGTTTAAAATATATTTGTCTTTACTTTTTAGCGATCGCTGCTGTTAGAATGTTTTCCACTAAACTTTAGCGTAATATGTCATGTAACCTCGATAATGTCAGTATACTACGTAGCTATTTGACAAGAATACGAGATTGTTGTATTCGAGGTAAGATAAACGCAAATATATACGTATTTACACGAAAGCGATTTTGTTACGTTTTTTAGACACTAAGTTATGTATTGCAGGTATATCTTTAATAGTATGAATACCGAAACAATAACAAATTTCGCAGATTTAAAATTCTTACTTCTCTAGTACGGATGTTTATGAAATTATAAATAATTGTATGATCTTTTTTCCAGTGTATTCTTTAAATAGTCCGCGAACAGAGAATAGCGTATACATTTGCAAGAGATTACGTCAGATTGACAGTTATATTTCTTACTCTCCAATCGTGTTAATGCTCGTCAGTATGGCCAGTATCCTGTTTACCGTAATGTATGAAAATAGGATCATTTGCCATTGATTTTACTAGAAACGTGTACTCGATCGAATCGAATGGAAAAGAATTATTCGAAAGAGAAGAAAAACACACTTGTTACACGCTTTCTTCCTATTCTATCCATTTAATCGTATAGTTCTTCTAGGAATAAAAAGATAACGGTGTTCCAACAGGATGATTACGCAAATTGTTGGAAATTAACGTCGTTGTGTATCTCCTAGCGATTGTTTATAATATCTCCATGCTGTTCGTTCTTACTTAGAAAAAAATTGTCTAATTTTGTGTATACAAGATTGCCATGTTCCTCGAAAACTACGATACCACGGTAGACGAGGTAAAAATAATAATGACGAGTTACTACGTAGAGTAGAAAGAATTCTTCCCGGTGCTCGAAAAGAAACGCATTCGGCCACTTGCAAAGAATCTGCTGCGCAATACTGCGCATATTGTTTACCCAGCCTTTCGATGCATCGTGCCAAAGGCTTCTCTTGAAACATAATCTTGTCTCTCTCAGTGGAGTGCTACGAACTTCGCCAGAATAACTTTGTCCTTCTTCGAATCGCACGAAGTTGATACCGTGTCGGTGTTGGAAGATAATTTGTATATTTGAATCACTTTCTTTTGTTTCTACATAAAACGTTTTATATTTTGCATTCGTGATATATTCCTTTGAATATTACAAATATTACAAAGATAGGATTGTGGCTAACCTGATGATGGATTTATGGTTCACCATGGAATACCGGATCGTGCACCCAAAGGAAGCGCCTGCCGTAACCGGTCAGGGAAAAAAAAGACGAAATTTCGCTTCGACCCGATGTCAGTGACCGAGGATTAATTCCGATCTGTGAAACGAGAGATATATTTTCTAGCGTTATTACGTGTCGGAGAGAGTAGCAGTCGCTGTTTCGTCTCGTTACGTAGTGATATCAGGTGAAATTAGGAAAATGCAGACAGGGTAGTCCATTGTGTGCGTACGAAACACGTTAACACAATCCCTGGTCCGTGTTAATGCGCGATGACTCTTGTTCCACGCCAATGTGAACAGACAAGGTCATGGAACTTGCGTGGAGATGGCATGCATCGTAGTAACGAAATTTGTAAACTAGGAAACAAAGCGGGCAATGCAAATGTGATCTCGCGTATATTCAACAAATTACGTTCATTTTGGCAGACGAATATCGAAAAAGCAAACCTTTTTATTTAACCTTTGAAACTTCAAATTTTCTTATTCGGGTAGGATTTTTTTCCTTTTTGCCTATTCTTTTAATTGATTTTTACATCATGATAAAATAATAAAATAGTTGAAAATATATAATAAACGAGGAATTACTAATTTGAAAATTTCACTTTGAACAAATAGAATAGGGAAGGTGAAACCGGCCTTCGAGCTTCCAAAAGTCGACTAGGGGACGTAGAGGTAAAAGGTCGAATCGAAGCAACGACGGCAGAAGTGCTCGGATCGCGCCACGACATGTAAAGTTCACGTGTGTGAATGGCTTACCGTGGCACACACTGTACGCCGAAGGTCGTGGAACCTGTTGGACACAGCGGAGAATACGAATGAAATTTCCAATTCCTCCGTGGGTGGAATGCACGTTGTATATATGTGTAACGTCGTTTTAACCGGTAGAAAGAATTCAAGGACACGAGGTAGTTGAGGCAGATGGTCTCCAGGCAATTTCGACGCCACTTCGCAGGTTATTATGTGAAAATTAGTATTACTTTAACCTTAACTGCATACGAAATAGATTTCTTTAATTTGTCGATTTATGCAGATTTATTTCTTCTTTGCATAGAGAATACGTTAGCGCTACGAGCAAGTTTGAAATCTTTTGTCGGGTCAATCCCGTAACTTTTCTTCTGCGATGGTCACCCGTCAACCCGTATCTCCTATTCATTTTTACATGGAAACTTGCTACCTCAGATCGCAGGGATCCCTCGGATTACAAAGGGCATCCCCGAGTCTCTTATCGAAGAAAGACCGGATCAGCTGTTGCAGCCGACCTTTACTGGCCATCTTCCATTGTGCTTGGGTACAAAAAGGAGAAACTGTAAAAACGAATCGCCGCTGTACCTTTTCCGTTGCAAAACTAGTTGACAATAATTTCAGTTTTCACTTTTACGCTGTCATTGCTCTCGGTTTTACGACATGTCTCGCAGGAAATCCACTGCTTGCAGGGTCTTCGCGTTGTTCTAGAATTTACTTGCAAAGCACGATCGATAGTCGTAGGTCCATTTAAACGGTAAATTACAACTAGCGAAACTGAATTTAAATTGTTTCCTGTAACGCGACTGTGACTCTCCGAGCCGTACAGTTTCTCGCAGCGAAGCGAATTGTTATTCTCGTTTATGACTCGAACGAGACCTTTCTTGTTCCTTTTCTCCCATATCTCATCGCGAGGCACGTGAATCATACGTCTGTTTGTTCTTGGCCAGTTTAAACATCGCTTTTGGTCATCGACATTTAAGAGCTTGTCCTCTTTCTTCTTCTTTCGTTCGTAGCGACGCGCGCAGGGGTTGAGAAGAGCCATTTACATTGCGAAACTGCAAATCGATGATGCAAGGTTGTGTAAGCCGATTTTCTGCCATTCAACGATCGGGGACCGCATTCTCGTTTACGTGTATCCCCTCGAACCTTCCATCTTTCATTATGAACGGCATTCCTATCGCGGATTCCGTTACCGATACGATCGTCCTTTTATACTTCTATCGACTATTATCTTTCTGATGCTACAGTCTTATCAATTACATCTAAATACTAGCAATTTCAAAACGTGAATTTAGAATCGTTGTCTGTGAAACAGATTCCTCGAGTTAGTAACATATATTTAGACGTATTAAAAGTTTGGATGAAAAAGGCCGTCCGAAGCCTTGGGGAATTAACGCGTTTAAGTCTACATCGTCATTACTCCATTTAGAACGGAACGATTGTTACGGACAAATCTGGAAATGATCGCGTGGATGGCGCGCGGAACGAAACAGCTTCCCTCGTTTTAACCGAGACTGTTCTCGAACGAATCTATTATCGAGCGCGTCTCGCTGCTCTGCTCCACGATTTGCGTTCACAGATGCGTTCTCCATTTCTCTTTCGCTCAACCCGATCGCGATTAGATTGCGACAGGCGGTTCGTTCGTGGACGAACAACTTCAGCTGCATCGAATCGCGCGTTTAATTTCTTTCAATGCTTCTACACGCCATCCGATCGATTTTTCTATTTCAGAATCACGCGACACACGTACCGCGTTTCCTCGTAAATATACTATATGCTATATAATTTCGCGTGTAGGATCACATTTGACATTTGACGTTTCTTGGTAAAATTCACGCGAAGAACGTGGCCAAATTTTTCTTTCCTTGCTCGGAACATTTCCTTACGTACGGTTTCTTCGTTTCGTGGTTGGATTCGGTGTGCTCGATATCTTGTTAGTCGATTAATTATTCCATTGCGGACAATTAAGGAATCGTCTTTTAAACGATTCGTTAGATAATTATTATCATGCTCTGCCAGTGCTCTACATAGCGATGATGCTCTAATATCGTTCACTTCCCGCATATAGCTTGTTATCGGACGTTTTTTCCTATGCATCCGTGTGTTTATCAGGATCGTTTTTGGTAACAACGCGTCATCGTGTCTATTTTGCTTAACACTGGACCTAATTAGACAACGCTGTTCCACGCGTATTTAATTTCGCAATCTGCAAAGGACGATTCTCGTAGACTCGTGTCTGAGCTAAACGCGAATCTGCAAACTGTATTTTCTTAGGAAAACGTTCTCTCTACGGTTTCTGGGAACAATCAGTTTTGGGAATTGCCAACGAGATGAGATAATTCCGCGCTCTCTGCCGCGTAAAATGATACGCGGTTATTGCGTTGTAAACGTTTAAACTCGTTTAAATAACGATCGAAGTGAAAAAGACGCCTAACACGCAGCATCTTTTACTTACATTTTTCGGTTTATTTAAAAAACTAAAGGAGAAAATCAAACCCTAACACGCGATAGAGTAGATACTTTTGGTAAGAATAGCATCGGCAGAAACTAGAATATCTCTGTCGAACCGTGTTATCGACGGTCTTTTTGCGACGCGATGTTTTTATCAATTATCCTGCGATATTTATGCACGTTGGGTACTGTTGCTCCATGCAATTATATAATGGCTGCTCGTAATGGCAAGAATGCGAAGAACGAGGTACCTGATTGTTTGAAATTGCAATAGCAGAGTTTGTCACATGTTCGGAGAATACAGTGATTACTTTTCAAAGTGTAATTAACCTCTGATCGTGTGTTTCAGATAACTTCGTCGATATATAGCGTTTTGAAAAGCAGCGAAAGACCTGTCGCTGATCTTGCGTAACTATCGGCAGATATAATTTATCCGATACGAGGCAATGAAAAATAAAAGGAAACAATGAACGTCAACGTTCTATTGATCGATTCCCGATACGGTATCGAATTATCTAGTTGATAACTTTGTAGCGACATTGTAGTTATTCCATCGCGTGCCGTCGTGTTTACTCTTTATTCATAACGTCTAAATTACGTCACTTATCCCTTTGATTGTATTTCTATGGCAAAGTTCTACGGGTACAGTTTTTGCGATCAAAACATTGCAGTTTCGTTCACGCTGCTGCTATTTTATATTCGCGTTTTCCCTCGAAGAACATAACGATGACTAAATTCGTGAAACTACAATCGATATTCTAATCTATGCAAATTCTCCATATTCCTGGTAAATACATCGAATTCCTACTAGCAATTTGTAACGTTGTATCGGTATTTCATCGTGAAAAAGGCGCGACGTGATTCTCAAACGATTCTAGGAATTTCTTGTAAACTCGGAGAGCTAGAACCGACGAATACTCATTATCGCGCGATGCAATTCGGAATTCGAAAGATAATACACGCATCATTGTCATCGTTCGGTAGTTTATCGAGAGATTGGCGTTGCTACGTTTGAGTAATGAAATCGCAGCCAAACAGCGAGAATTGATTGTAATTTCAACAAATAAAAAAAAAAAAGACAACGTCTGTAGAAATTGGTAGAGGTTGTACGTGTATGTAAATTCCGGGGAATTCCGTTCGCTCTTAAAGTTTATGAATTATCTCTCTTTCTCTTTCTTTCTCCCTGATTTCGCTATCGTTGCGTGTTTCAAAATCAAAACATCGAAACTGGGGAAGAGTAACGTCGTATATATCACTTGGCATTACGTGAATCGTAATCTATTTGAGCGACGCTTAATTCTCGATTTCTTCGTGTACACGGTGATTCGGAAGTTCCTTTAATTCGAAACGAATCGTTATTCTAGATTATGGTGGCGAAATGATAAAATGATAGAAAGTGGTTTTCTACCTCTGGTAGCGTTTGATGCTACCAGCGCGAAATGGAGGTCAGCCGTTAAATAATTTACACGTTGTGGTTGAGCGATTATTTAAAAATATGCGTGTTGCGTAACATGCGAAAACAAGCTCGCGTTACTCGGCATCGTTCGTTTAATTGGTCATTATTATTATAAAGGAAACAGGCAAGTGGTTTTGTCGTTGGAACGATCGTTTTCGGGCAGCGCTTCATCGTCAATTTTATTACTAACGACTTATTATTCCGATGGTCGATCGCGAAACCGTGTTACGGCAAGCCTTTTACGATTATAATGGCTATCGAAGATTCTTAACGACGCTAACGATATAACTTTTTTCTTGCTTGATCGATGGGCGTTTAGTTCTAGCTAGCGCGACACACGTGTAATATTATAAGTAAATGCTCATTCGCTTTAAATACAACCGAGAGACGTATAATGTAGTGAACCGATGTATCGATTACGAGGACAGTGCAAGGTTCGCGTTGCCAACGAGAAAATTACTCGAAAACTAAATTTGTCATCGAAAAGAAGGTCTAGACACGCGGGTTATATTTGTAAAATCGTATATCGGAAAAACGATGATACTGCTTCGATTAACCCTTGATCGGTAGATTTTTCAACGCCTATTTGCTAGTTTGCTTATCGCTACGGCAAATGTTCTTGATCTCTGTGGACACGTTTTACGATTTTGTACGCTCGAACAATGTTAGGCGTGTAAATTGACAGTACGTAGCAGTACACATCTGCGTAACGACGAGAATTTTCCGTAACAGGTCACCGTATCCAGCAGGCCACTTAAACGAAATAAACGTTTATCGCGTAAAATAATTAGCGCTACGGTAGTACAACTTAACGAATGCCATTCGCGATAAAGGCTAATTGATCAAAAATATGTATATCGATTGTTGTGAAAGCAGACTTGTTAATTGTTCCATATCATCGTTATCGTTGTTGCATATTTTTCCTGCCACTTCGTTACAGAAATAAGAATGCAGATATTTTGCAGTGAAATTATTGAAATAATTTGAATCTGAATATTTGAAAAACTCAGGCTGTTTATCGAGGCCAGTCTACTTCGCTTTTTCTACATATTTTTTCTACAAGAAGTGGAGCAAGGTCTATCGAATAATTATCTCGTCTGTAATGAAACGATGAAATTATTTCCACTCGATTTTTAATAAAAATTACCACTTCTTGAACGCCTATTATTACGATTTATTAAAACGGTTAGACACCCGCCTATTTTTTTAGGGAACAAAGATAATAACACGCTTTACGTAACCTACGATGAAATGAGATGTACCGTTAGATCACGAATTGTAGTTGAAAGAGAGCCGAAGTATAATTGAATTCGCATATTATTTTATCGTTATTTATTTTAATTTAACGTTATTATTTTCAAAGTATAATTGGCTATGTGGCAAAATGAAATATCGTCCGATTAAATTTCAACTGTTGTATCTTTTCCTAATCGAAAATTCAGATAACTCGATATTCTATATATATATATGTTTGTATCGAGATCAGTCATTCTAAATTATCATTGATTACTGAAGAGAAAGGAGATAAGGGCCAGATCGTATTTTAACGAAAGTATCCACGCCCATAAAGAAACTCAGTCGATGGTAAAATTGTTAACATCGCGCGATTTAGCTTTAAATTTATCGGCTTCGTACAGAAAAGGCCGACCATCCATCCGTGCACAGACGCGTATGTGCGTGGGAGGAGAGTTAGAACAATTTTCTAGAACGTGTTCGATCTGTTAAGTACAACCTCTTGCACTTTTTCATCCAATGACGTGTAATTGTTTTCCTTATACTGTACCATGTTCTATCTATAAATTTTATCAATTTTTCCGCAGAACTTGTACGATAATAATTATAACAATAAATTATATCGATCGATATAAAAATAATTCGCAAATGTTGCTTCGTTTTCTAGAACCTTCTTTAAGAACGCCGACCCTCTTTATGTTACAGACAGCGCTAATACATTGAAAATATTGCTGAGCTTCGCAGTCGGTGGCCTTCTGGGCGACGTCTTCCTGCATCTGCTACCGGAAACATGGACGAGCAGCTCTTTGAACAAAGGTACGAAAATACTACAGCAAGGAAATGAAAAGAATCAGTGGCGCCAGCTGCACTCTTGGCAGATAATAAAAAACTATCGTCAACTGGTGGCTCGTTCTTGCTTTGGCGAATCATACGAGATAACGAACGAACCAATCACGAAGCACGAACAAATTTGGAACAAAATTCTCCTCTATTCTTTTTCATTCTTCTTCGAGTTCGGAGAATCTCGAAAGTTGTCGCAATTGAATACGAAATGTTCGAAACGAATATAACGTATATTTTCTATCCCTACCTTCGATTCGAAGTGCTACGAAATCTATACCATCACGCGCGAAACTTATCGCTAATGTACAAAGAATGACGACGTTTCTAGGGTGATCTAATTTAGTTCTTTATACGTCATTGACGAAACATTACCTAATACACAATGTGTACTATAGAGTTATGTAATAAGAAAGTTGCAAGGGGTAACAGCCTTGAACGATTCTATTCGGGAAGACCCACGAGTTTATCGTGTGGTGGCTAGCGTCAGATAAAAGAAAGAAGTTTCAAAAAAAAATATATAGTAGAATAGTGTCAAAGATTAAGTCGAGGTCGTTAAAGAATCGATCGATCGACGCAATATCCATGCATCGAGCGTGAAACTCGACTGATCTCACTATGTCGTTTAATCGTAAAGTATATATATGCAATTCGCATGCACAAACACACGGACTTGACAGTCGGTTTTATCGATCTTTCCTCCGCAAAAATTTGCAGTATCATCGTATAACGCGAAAGAAGCATTAAAGATTTCGAAACGATTCCTGCTAAAAATAGACGAATCTCTTCTTTTGCCTCGCCATTTTTGTGACGGTGTATTTTCGGTTTTACAATACCACTCGTATTGAATAAGCAGCAATACAAATTTCAATCGAAGATCATATATTTAAATTACGGGCCACTTTGGCCTCAGGCTGCAATTCATCATATTAGATCTATGCTAAGCATGACTCGAGGCGATCCTTCACCTCCGTTGACTGCTTTATGAGCGATTCAAACGGCATTCTCAAACCCTATTGTATTTCAGTTGCGGATTTCAATTGCCAGCTGTCTTCTCCTAAATGAAACTGGCTCGTTTCTAGTCCACCTACAATTTCTCAGTTACCTTGGCCATCTTTTTCTCTTACAGATGACTGTGTCGTCCTCGCTAAGATCCAGAATCGCTTTACACGTATCCGTTCAAGTTACGTCGTTTTGTTTCAGCAGCGGATGATAGACATCCGTCGGTGACGTGCGGTCTATGGGTACTAGGAGGCTTCTTGGTATTCGTCATAGTGGAGAAACTGTTTGCTTTCGAGCAAGAAGCTGAAATCGAGGATACGTCCATAAATAACGCAAAACTGTGCGAAAAAACTAACACTGAAGCTGAAAAGGAGATGGAAAATAACAACTGTATTAATTTGATCGGAAGCAATCCGAAGAACGGTTTTTCAAAGCGACTTCCCAATGAATTTTCAAAAGCCATTAACGAGGTAATACGTCGATTGTAAAATAATGTATGATTGAAATACATCGTTCTTGAACACGATACTAATACAAGCATTTCAAATTATTCTTACAGTTGCGGCCCTTTTTAGAAAAGAAAAACGGATACTCCGAACTGCCGAATAATTTCAAAGATAACCATAAGAACGGCTTCGTTAGCAACGGCATGAAGCCAGTATTAATGTGCAACGAGTTGTCGAATACCCTAAAAGGTTTGCCGTTGAACGAGGTAAAAGATTGTTTAAAGAAATTTGCGAAGAACGCTAATGGTTTTTCAACCGAGTTGTCGAAAGGTTATTTAAAAAAAGACAAAGCGGACAAAGCTTCTAGCGATGAACAGATTGTTGCGAAACAAAAGTCCAAGCATATAACTGGCTATCTTAACCTGATAGCCAATATCATAGATAACTTTACTCATGGATTGGCTGTCGGCGGTTCTTTCCTCGTATCCTTCCGTTTAGGTGCTCTCACCACGTTTGCTATTCTCATACACGAGATTCCGCACGAGGTCGGAGATTTCGCAATTTTATTACGCAGTGGATTCAACAGATGGGATGCTGCGCGGGCGCAGCTTCTCACAGCTAGCGGTGGCATTTTTGGAGCCATGTCCGCAATAATTTTCTCTGGCGGTGAAGTAGGTAGGTATCGCTTCTTTAAAATTGTAAGGAAAACGGCTTGAGAATTTCTTCGCTCGATGAATGTACATTTTTAAGATTCCTGACAATTGTATTTCTTTAGGAGCGAAAACAAGTTGGATATTGCCCTTCACCGCGGGTGGCTTTCTTCATATCAGCATGGTCACCATTTTGCCCGAACTGCTTAAGGAAACTACTAGTCCTAAAGAATCTTTGAAACAAATAGTCGCGTTGCTCTTTGGTATTACCATTATGGCATTTTTAACGATTCTTTTCGATTAATAGAGTTACTTCTTTTAGCAATAGCATTAGGTACTACTTGTCTATATATATCGACACGTGTCGAGTGTAAGTTTTTGTTACATTAACGTTTCTTGATACGTGTCGGGACAAGTAATTCGAATTTGCCATAAGAAATTCTACCGCGTAATACTTGTTGCTCAATGATGGTGCATCCATGCAGGGAGACAGAGGAAACGAAGAACGATGGTTAACGACTGACCAAATTCATGTAGAAATTACTTTTGTACTGATTTTAGTTTCATATAAAACTTCATAGTCATCTGTATATTTGAAATAAGTTCACGTTTAGATAATTCGATAAATAAAAATAACGTCGATCTCCTTCTGCGGTAATTAATGTTCTTCTGATAGCGAGAGACAAAGAAAACAGGGATATCTGTACAAGTTACTTTTATATTTTTCGATCGTTTATCGGGGATCGTATTATCGGCAATTCGGTATTATCCATCTACATTGTTGCATTAAGGGATACTCTGTTACAAACCTGGCATAGTTTATACATAAATATACGTATGTTCCTCCATAAACAATCGAAAACTTGTTGCATGAAACGTCATTCCGTTTCTATGATATCGACTTATTTCGCACTTAAACTTCGTTATCTAGGCGTTACACTGTGAAACCAGTATTGACGTGTGACTTTCACGTTGTAAAACATCATCGTGTACATAATATCTATGCTTCCTCGTTTACTGTTAAAAAATATTGCAACTCAAAAAAAGATTGTAAATTACTCAAAAAGAAAAATAGTATATTTTGTGGGTACATCCATCGGTTTGTTCGATCATTCCGACAAATGTATAATTTAAGTTCCTAATGTATCGAACTCTTAACTACCTTATTATGAAAGGAGGAAATAACATATTCCTGATGATGAACAATATGCGAAAGATATTATGTAAAATCTGTAAAATTGGTATGTAGATATAGAGTCATTGTATTTAATAAAATTTGAAAGATTATGTAAACTCAAGTATTTTAGAGAAGTTTACGAATTAGATGAGTTATTGAACGGAGATTCCATCTATTCTCCGTAGTCTCGTGTATTATCTAAAGGTGCTGGTTTTATAAACCGAACAAAACGCAATCCTTGTACTTAAAGGATTATTCTTTTACAACAAAAACCTTGATACATGAGCATCGTTTTTAAGCACATGTAAATAGAAATTCGGAATTACGAAGCTAGTTTAATCAGCGATTTGGCAAGTATATTTTCTATAAACTATGACTTCACGAACAAACTGTTCGTATGTAATCACTATTATTTGTAAATAAAGTATTTTATTCTATGATATATATCTTTGAACAATTTTTTTCTATGAAACAACACAAATGTGAACAGTAAAAAATAATTTATTAAATAATTTTCTTAAAACATAAAAATACACGACACTTTCATTTCCATTTACCGGGTGGGTAACACAGATTTCTTACATAATATATGTACAGAATAATTTTCTAATTTGCATATATACACACACACGCTTTTGTTATGATACATTGTATATCCATCTGTTAAAACTGGTAATAATTTGACAACAATGTTTACGAAATATCCACGGCCAATATTCAAAATATTCATGCCAACGATTTTCTTCATCACGCGTGAAAACTTTGTACAATTATATCTACACGACACGAAATAAATACTGAAGCTCAGTCATTACGAACGTTTAATTATATCTTGCCTTTCTCTCTATAACTCATCGTGGGTAGTTTCGAGTGTTTGAAGCATGCCTATTAGTATATTTAAGTCATGATGCAGATCCAGTATGTGCTGTATAATGGGAAGAAATTCGTCTTTATGTTTTCTCCACTTGTCGATACAGATGGGAGCAGCAGTGATCATGCTATCGGAAATAGTTTTAAGAAATTCATAATTAGTTCTCAATAAATCACTAAGATCAATTTTGAAGCTTGTTATCATTAAATTGCTTAAGTGATCGCAATAAGAATATTTTAATAATTTTCTCTCAATATCAGCAGCAGAATATGCTTTTACTCTTAGTTCTTGTTGTGCAACGTCGGTGATATATTCTATATGCTGTCTCTCTACAATTAAATCATTGATTAATTTCATAACTTTCATCTGTACTTGTAATTGGCCATCGACTAAAATTTGTCCAAATATTTCTACTCCTCCATGATCGACCCACACTTTTTGTGCTATTGGAAACTGTCTTATCAGAGCACCCAAAGCAAAGAGACATCTTGACTTCAAGTCTGATTTACTACTTGTAGACAATATATGTAAAAGTTTTTGAACAAGATCATTTTCCAGTGCTTTTAATTGCACTTTAGGATTAGATTGGACAGCTGCACCCAAAAGTCTCAAAGCTTCGATCTTTATTTCGTTGTTTGTTCCATTGAGGCACGGAGATATGATTTTATTCATACTGTAATTGAGAAATCATGAAAAAATGACTCTGATGTTGATATTTCGTTAGAACAAAAATTGCTTTTTATACATACCCTTCCATATCAGCAAAAACTTTGGCATTATCAATGTGATGAAGCAAGTATTCTAAATTGTACAAAATATCTAAAATTCTTTCTATTTCTGCAGTCGTTAAAATTCCCATAGTGACTTTATTTTTATAAGCTTGAAACTTTTTAATATAGCTACTTAACAAGTCCGAATCGCTAACAGTAATATTTATTTCAAATGATTTAAATTCTTTCTTCAAAGCTTCGTAGTCTCTAAATTTTTGCCTTATTTTTTTTGAGTGTTCGATCTAGAAATATTTACAAATGATTTAAACAAATTCCTTATACGTTATACAGAGACTATAGTTAAAAGTAGTTACATCTATTTCTGGAAAATCTTCACCGTCTTGTTTCATTTTTTTCAATCTATCTTTCAATTCTTTGATCGAGTAATTAAACAAATCAGACTTTTCTGCTGGTACATGATCTTTTTCTTCAAGGATTGTGTTCTCAGGATGCAACATTACAGAATTTGTATTCGTACTGTTCGAACTTTTGTTCGAATCCTCTTCTTTTACATTGTCATCGTCAATTAATTTAGCTTCTGTTACTCCACTTTCAAAATTGTGTCGAACATGTAATCCTGCAGGTATAGGTGTACCTAATGAATTAAACGAATTAAAAGGAGAATTGATATAACAAGAACATAAATTGATATCTTTTTTATGAATGAATAATTAAATTATTAAATTAAAAAATGAAGTAAATGGCCAATCTATTTGCACCTTTAAATAAAATTCTCTATACGTCACTGTGGTACAAGTTGTAAAATATCGTATTTGAATAAACTGCAGATAATTGAGACGATAATAAATAAGAAGTTTATATAAAAACTTTTCGTAAACTTAACAGTACTGCGCGTAAGAAAATGGCCTGAATACTACAGACATATTGTCTCGAAGAAACCGCGATGTCAAATTTGACTGACGTGGTCTTAGGAAGAGAACAATCAGTTGCGTAAAAAAGTAGTCCCAGAATGTACGTAGAACGAAAGTAAATAAATGTTCGCTTACCTTTTTTTACAGTTTGCCATTCTCGAGTTGGTACAAATGTGGTTTCATTTTTTTCAAGGTTTCCGAGAACTACCGGTAACAAAAGTAAACAAGTTAGAATAATCGTATTGGATTGCATTCTCATCTTTTCCTGTGGTTAACCGAGGGCTACGACTTTTCTCAAGATGCGGCGATGACTTTTCATAAAATTATTAAAATTCTCTTAATGATATTTTGTTAACTATATTACAGAAAATTTTCAATTTTCCTGCAAGTCTTTCATCGCGCTTTTGTTCAATTTAAGTATTATTCACGTGTTGCGTCCGATATTTATTCAGTTAGTGTGTCAATGTTAGTATCATGTCTTGCCACCAGGGCTTACGTAGACCAATAGTCGTTCAGTACGACGTTGCCAAATTTTTCATTCAAATTGTATTACTGTATATTAGCCGTTTTTAAATAATTACTTGAGATTGGTATATACAACAGACAAAATATTTTGGTACTTTACAAAAATAAACATTCGTAAATATGTAATACTAAATTTCTTTATTATTTTCTTAGGGAAAAAGGATTGAAAGTAATCACATAATATATTCCACTATTTTGAAGGAGAAGTAATATTTTACTAAAAATGCAATAATTAAATCTTCCATGTTTACATCGAATAGGGATTAACATATATCAGTATGTACTTATATATATAACCTTCTGTTTAGGAATAATTTATACGTTTAATTTTTTATTATCTTGCGTGAGATTCTTATATTTATCCGCCAAGAATAATGATAAAAAGAGTGAACTTGGACAGTTATATTTTTCATTCGATTCATTTCTTTCATAACCGGCAGAATATTCGCGGAGG